ATCCTCTTGCAATTTTATCTAACCCCAACTTTAATCCAAATACTAATACTAACTCTAATACTAACACTAACACTAATTATTATAAAAGTATATCCTAACTCTAATTATTATAAAGGTGCAATGTATTGCACTATGCAATAAATTATAAAATTTATTTTTAAATTACAAGTATTATTTTTATAATAAGTAATAAATTTTAAAACTATTAGCAGTTAGTATATAAAACTACAGTATCTCTAAATAATATATAGCTACTACAGTATTTTATAGCTTTTTTCAACTTATAAACATAATATATATACTTGTATTTTTTTTAATATAGAAAGTTTAAAGAATTTTTAGTATAAGTAATTATAAAAAAGTTAAAATTTTTTTTTTGTTTATATTAAATTTTAATTTAAAAATTTTTTATTATAAATTTTAATTATTAAATTACTTGTACTATATTTGTAATTAGATTAATATTATATATTTTAATTATAAATATATTTAGATTTTATTTATTTAACAGTTTTGTATTTAATTAAATATAATAAATACTAGAAAAATTAAAAATATATTTAGTAAAACTATAGTATTACTATATATATATACAGTAAAAATAGTATATTTATTTTATATAAAACCAGACCAAATTAATTTTTTACTTAATATAACATGAAATAACTTGTATATATGGTGCTATTGGCTATAATTAATATAATAATACTGTATATACTGTATATAACAATATAACAATATACAAGATACTGTTACTATATAATACTACAAATTTAATTAGTAATTGTATAGTAATAATTGTATATTTAAAAAAGATTTATATTATTAAGATCACAATTTTTACAATTTTAATTAATTAATTTAGAATTAAAAAAAAAATTTTGGTTTATTTTATTTTCTAAAATTAAAAATTTTAATAATTATATATATACTATAGTACAAAGTGTATACAGTGTTTTTGTATCGTAGCTATACCGATACTTCTCAATATTTTCAATATAATTAAACAAAATACACCATTACTGTTGCTACCATAATAAGGCTAAGCAAAAATTTGTATCCAGAAATGGATGATCCAGTGAAGCTTGTAGCAGAACTGGACAAGTTGGTTGGTGTTGTTGTTGGTGTTGATGATGCACTTGTTCTAGTACTAAAAAAATTGAATATGTAAAAAAATAAGTTATTTATATATCTTGAAACTTGTGTTAGAAGTTATAAAACACTTACGTAGTAGTAGATGATTTAGGAGTAGGAGCAGGAGCAGGGACAGGGGGAAGGGAAGGGGTTTGAGCTGGAGTTGGAGTTGGAACTTGAGCTGGAGCTGGAGTTGGAACTTGAGCTGGAGCTGAAACTTGAGCTGGAACTGCAGCTTGAGGTGAAGCTATAGATGGAGAACCAGTTTGAACAGGAGCTGGAGCTGGAGCTGGAGCTGGAGCAGCGGGGCTAGAAGAAACAGGCAGTCCGGCACTAAAGACACTAAAAGTTCCAGAGTACTTATCACCACTACCATCGTTAAGAGCAAGGTAATAAGTACCCACGGGAACATTGACCAACCACGTATAAGATTGAGTGGAGAGATTTATTGTACTACTAAGTATAATTG